TCACTTAGGCTTTGAATGGGTATTGGAAAAGGCACTTGCCTTGGCCGTTCTTGTCCCCTGAGAGATCCAGAATGCGGAAGACACAGAAATCTGAGCTTCTCATCAAGCTACGCAGTGCGTGGAAGTTCTGAGCCAGAGCGAGATCAGGCAGTACGTAAGAAGAACGATAAAAGGTTCTACGCCAAAGTTGTAAGAGGAAGAAGTAAATTCTCCGCGATATGCAAATAACATGACTACTTAGCATTGGTAGAAACCCTAGGAGATCTCACAAAAAAGAAACAAACAAACGAAAAAAAACCTATTAATGGCGCATGGTGGCTGCAGCCTGTAATCCAGGCACTCTGGAGGCCGAGGAGGCCAGGCGGTCGCCTCAAGTCAGGAGTCTTAAACGCAGCGCTGAAGGAGACCCGGTCTCTACCAAAAAATAGAAAGGGAATATTAATTGAGCCAAGCTAAAGAATACATATGACAAAAAAATTAGCAGGGCGCGATGGTCACAACCCAACTTGTGTGGTTTTTTTTTGCCGTGCTGATCCAGCTCTCGGTTGTTTTAGCTGACAGTAGGTGCTGTGAGCCCGAGGGAGTTGAGGTTGTCTGTCGAGCTAGGCTCGATGCTGGCAACTCTAGCCTGGGCAACACAGCGAGGACTGCGTGTCTCAAAAAATTATTGAAGGTTAGTTAAAAAATAAATAAATAAATAAAATAAAACTATTAGAGCTAATAAATTCATCAAAATTGCAGGATACAAAATTAACATGCAAAATCAGTTGCATTTCTATACACTAGCAATGACCAATGCAAAAAGAAAATTAAGAAAAATTCCATTTACAATAGCATCAACAAGAATAAAATACTTAGGAATAAATTTAACAAAAAAAGTGAAAGACTTGTATACTGAAAATGTCAAAAATTTTTTTGAAAAAATTAAGGAAGATCCAAATAAATGAAAAGACATCCATGTTCATGATCAAAAGACTTAATGTTGTTAAGATGGCAATACTTTCCAAATTGACCTACAGATTCAACTCAATTTCTATCAAAATCCCAGCTGCCTTTTTAGCAAAATTGACAAGCTGATGCAAAAATTTATATAGACATACAGGGGACCCAGAATAGCTAAAAATAATCTCAAAAAAGAAAAAGCCGGATGCGGTGGCTCGCGCCTGTAATTCTAGCTCTCTTGGAGGCCGAGGCAGGCAGATCGTTGGAGCTCAGGAGTTCGAAACCAGCCTGAGCAAGAGCGAGACCCCGTCTCTACTATAAATAGAAAGAAATTAATTGACCAACTAAAAGTATATATATAAAAAATTAGCCGGGCATGGTGGTGCATGCCTGTAGTCCCAGCTACTTGGGAGGCTGAGGCAGGAGGATCG